ACACGCCGTAACGAAGAGATGCGTGAATGCTTCGATTCATGGCGATAAATTATCATATTGTGGCATTATAGGTTATGACACCGTACAGTCTGGTTTGTGAGTACCAACATTTCGAATGAACATACTGTCCCCGTCTGCAGGAACAAAGTAATGGGAGATGTGTTTACTTGTAAATCGCTGCTAATTATGTACAAGACTACACGGGGTCATATCCCAGATGGCCACAATAAGTCACACAGGACTGTTTGGCAGGCGGGATGGGGCGATCCTTTGGCTTATTACTTTCGTAGCAGATGGAACATGTTACTGTCTACTGGGTTGTGATGATAAATATGTCGTTAGTAGGCACCAGTAATTCGGGGGAACCTGCGCCTCCATCTTCAGGGTTCTTCGATATTTTATACCTCCCACTGGACGATTTACTGGTCGTACTTTAAATTAATGAAGATATACTAGTATATATGCATGTGTACACAGAGAAAGTCCTTTCGTGCACTGTCGTCTTCAATTTCGAAAAATGTACTGGCTGACCGGACGTCGATCAGAACTGTCAATGTACAACAAGCTGCTCCTGTACGAGTATAAACAAATGCTGCAACCAGTCTGGACATATGGCGTCCAACTGTGGGGATGTGCGAAAAAATGAAACATCGAAGTAATCCAACGATACCGGAACAAAGTACTAAGACGCACAGCAGATGCGCCCTGGTATGTACGCAACAGGGACCTCCATCGAGACCTCAGTGTCGAAACAGTCGCATCCATTATTGCAAGATACGCGACCTCACACGAAAAACGACTTAGACAACACGTCAATGAAGAAGCGTCCAGGCTCCTAAATGTGGGAAACCTAACCAGGCGACTCAAACGGACCAAACCTTACGAACTAGCCAAGCAGCCCGACAGCTAAGGGATCCGATGGGCGAACTTAACTTCATATAATCTTAGTAACTTAGTGTCAAATTAAAACAGATTTTTAGTTCAAGCGAACTAGTCTTTGTAACATTTTGTAGCAGCCAATAAATAAATAAAAAAAAGTGTCGTCTGCTTCTCTCTCCGTTTCTCTCCGTCCCGGCTCTGTTTGTTAGTGGCAAACTGAACAAGTTCATAGTGCAAAAGTGACCGATATTCACCGCTGTTTTGTTGCTACGCAACCGTTGCATTCATAAAGTGAACATTACACGGCGGTAAATTAGAGAAAACCAGTAAACGATATTGGTCAGTGAAGTGCATTTGTTTATACAAACGTCTGGGAGAAGAAAGAGGTTTCCCCAGTTCTATACAAGGTTCGAATCTCGGCTGGAACTCCACAGTCCCTCTAGGAAAAATTTCGGGACAGTACTTGGATGAAGCCATGGCCTCTTCCTTCCGAACGCTTTCCAATTCATCAATCATCGCACCGTTGGACGCGATGTAGTCCCGACGCTGAGAGCGTGGGAAAACAAACGCGTCCCCACAAAGAAAAGTTGAGAGTCCCGTTTCAGATTCATGTGAATGGCTCAGTACGGGCCAAAATGAAACTCACTCAACAGAGGGCTCCGACGTCCGATCCGAAAGGGGAACGTCAGAAGCGGTGCACAGAGGGGAGGGTATATCTGCCCGCTACACGTTTACTGCAAAGGAAGCACAAAACAAGAAGAGCTAATGGCCTGGTCTCCTCTGATAGACACGGGGCGCACATAAAATGAAGAATTGGGTAGGATACCCCGACACGCTGATAGCAAGGTCATCAGATAAGCCTCCATTAAAAAAATTAGGGGGGACATACAAGCAGACATACAGACAGAAAGGCGACTTCACGAGCCTCATCTTGCTACAAGTTTGAAGGTCGCGGGTTCGAGTCCCGATGAGGTGGATTTTCTTCAATTGACCTAATCCTTCCAGTCGCACTATGGCCCTGGTGTCGGCTCAGTCTCTAACAGAAATGAGTACCAGGATTCTTTCTGGGGGGTTAAAGGGCGGCCGGCGGGTAAGGCTGACAACCTTACCACCGTCTGCGAGCCGACTGTCTAGATGTGGGAGCCTCAAAGTCTCACAACCCTATGGGCCTCCATTGCCTGTTACAGGGATACCTTTACCTTTTACCTCTTTTATTTTAATTGGGGGGGACATAGATGCAGATACAGAGAGCAAGGTGATCACATAAGCTAACACGAGCCAGCTTCTTACCAGATCTGGACAGGAAGTTGTAACGCGCCCTCTTGCTGACGTACGGTGAATTGCCAGACATCATGATGGCCGAATCAGAGTCTGAGTGATAGCCCGATATGTCGCTGGAGTCATCCTCATCCTCGGCCACTTCCTTCATCAGCTCCAGGACCTGAAACACAAAAGTTACATCAGTGTTTTATTTTTTTTAATTGCTAGTGGGGTGCGACTAAGTCCGTTGTACTGCGGCCACTTCTGGCCTATTGTACCAGCCCCAGATGATAGGTGAGGGTGATTGTGGAGCAATTGGTGGAATGAAGATTGGCAGGGGAAACCGAAGTACTCGGAGAAAACCTGCCCCAGCGCCACTTTGTCCACCACAAATCCCACTTGACCAGATACATCAGTGTCTTAAGTCTCAGGTTCGAGATTCTCCCAACCTGAAGGGCCAGGTCCCCATATTTATATCCACTCCGCCCATGGTACAGGTACAGGCTACGATGGAGGTATTCGAGCCCGCCTCCACGCGGGCTTGACCCCTCATGGTTATTTGTAGGAGATTAAATAAGAATGTGAGGCTAGCGTGTGTCTTCATTTGCGTGTATGTGTATTTATTCTCAATCCTGAAGATGGAAGCAGTTTAATATGATCTCAGTGCGAGTTACAGGCCGTGCCCATCTCATTCTTCTCGAGGTAAAGCCAACCGGAAGTGATCCTGCTGCTTCTGCGCCCTTCAATGTCAATGGCATGAAGCGGAGAGACTGGGAGCCGGGCCCTCGCGGCACAAACCTGTTTGCATCTTACTTTCGCAGTGCGTTTCCCTTCATGAGTGCACGGGCAGGTGATTGGCCCACCTGACGTTGACAAGTGCCTCATATACCTCGCATCTCTCTCTCTCTCTGTGACTCAAGCCTTTCTCTACAGAAACCAAATTCTCTACTTACAAGCAATGCCTATGCAAGGATGCAGAATTACACTGGACACAAGGATCTGAAAGCGGATACGCGATAACAAGCGCCGATATCTTTCGAGTCGTTTAAAATATTTTATTTATTTAATTACGATTTGAAGCATGCAGTCTTCTGGGATGTGGCGTCGTTTATATATTGTATAAACCGACGTTTCGAAGGCATTCTTCATAGTTACGGCAGTGAAAACCTCGAATCTTACACAATTATGACTTCTTTAACGACGCTTTCAACAGTCGAATGAAGTACTTGTGTTCATGTGGAACTTGTTTCGATTCTCGATCGGGACACCGGCAATCCTGACTGAGGCTTTTCGTAGTTTTACTCAGTCCTTTCGGACAAATTCCGGGCTAGTACAAAGATTAACGCATGACCGGTCCCTTCCAGATCTTTTCCAATTCATGATTCACTAATCACCCTACGCTATACAGTAGAGATCCTGAGGGCGTAGCAAAATAGAGCCCAATAAACATAGCTCAGGTTTTACGTGTACAGCCGCCGCGCCATAGCTCAAGCGGTTAGTCGCTGGCTTCCCACCGCGGCGGCCCGGGTTCGATCCCGGGTCTGGTCAAGTTGGATTTGTGGTGGACGAAGTGGCGCTGGGGCACGTTCTCTCCGAGTACTTCGGTTTCCCCTGCCAATCTTCATTCCACCAATTGCTCCACAATCACCCTCACCTATCATCTGGGGCTGGTACAATAGGCCAGAAATGGCCGCAGTACAAGGGACTTAGTCCCACCCCACTAGCAATAAAGAAAATTCGTGCACAGCCCCCGACGACAGGATGGTTAGTAGATAATGAATTGGAAGGGATGTGCAAGGAAGTGGTCGTGGCAGGCATTTCCCCGGCGAGATTGCCGAGAACACGCAACATTTCAGACAGGACGGCCATTCTCCGGGCACAGGATTGAAAGTGGGACCTCTCAAACACGAAACCACCTGACCACCATGTTCCCTGCTTCCTCCATTTCTTGCGGCGGGGTGAGGCCAAGATCACTTGGTACGTCGGCCTGTACTTCACCTACTGCACCAGCGCCGGACGGTAGATGAGTGTAGAGCACTCGGTGGAATGAGAACTGACAGGGGAAAACGAAGTACTCGGAGAAAACCTGCCCCAGATCCACTACATCCACCACAAATCCCACATGAACTGATCGAACCCGGGCCGCCGAGGTGGGAAGCAGGCGACTAACCACCTGAGCTATGGCGCGGCCTGTTTCGGTGGTTAGGAACCTGAACACGGTGACGGACATGCAAACGCTTACTCTGCCAACAGGATACAGAGTCCACATAACAGTCAACATGGATACTAGTTCGAGGACCGGGGTTCCATTCCCGGCAGGAGCAGCTGACCACTGGTCCACCTCCGAATTTAAGAATGCATGGAGTTACTCAGCTCCTCCAATTACATGTCTGCACGAAGTGAGCGCAGATACGGGAGGTGCTGTCCGTTTCTTCTCCCAAATCACAGAACCCGTAACATTTTTCATATGCGTCTTGTGGTTTATCATACCGTGTAGTCTGGTAGTTGGGTTCCGACGTTTCGGAATAACGTATTGTCTCCGTTGACGTCAAAACCTCTCATCTCACAAGCTTTCTGACAACGCGTGTTCATCGCGAAGTGCCGCTTTCCAGTCCAGTCGCTGTCATTTCACTGACAAACCGCGCGGGAGACGTGGGATCTGGCACACGCCAAATTCTTATGGGAAGTTTAATTTCCATTCACGCCCCTACTTTGTTGCTTACAAAGGGGTTTCTGGGTCACCCTGTTTCATGACGCAAATTTGGTGTTGAGATGGACAGAATGAAACTAAAGCAAAGCTGGAAACTAAAAGAGAAATCCTCAAACCAGAGTGACAGTGTAGATGCTAGTTATCATGGCAAAGGGTATAGGTAACCTTTTTGCTGCCAAAGATCAGATTTCCCGCACAAGGACAGTAGCCACGTCTGCTCTCAATAATCCCTGAGTTTACAAATATTATCCTGTGTTTTGTCGACTGGTCGAGTTTACTGAAACTGCATACGCTATAAAATGGCAAAACTGTCATTTTGATTAATTAGTATGTATGGGGGAGTGGAGGTATAGCTCTACCACTCTTGACCTCGGCACTAGATGGAAGTGAGTAGTGGTCAGCTTCACTACCCGGCCACTTTACCTCCGAGGAAAGTGTCCCAGTACCCACTGGATAGGAGGGTGGGTGGGCCCAAGAGCCGGTCTGGACGCTGTGGAGAAGAGAAAAATCTTGCCGGGAATCGGACTCCAGCCTGTCGCTATATCGACTGAGCTATCGCTACGCCCAATGCATGAGCTAACCCCTCATACAAGCAACGGTATGCAGACTAGGGGCCCAAATGTAAAACAGCGCTTTTATCGAAACCGAATTTTCCAGTGGGACGAATTTCACCGTTGTTCGGTATTCAGCAAGCAGCAATGCTCTACCGAGCAACAATCGGTTCCGTTTTGAAGGTGATATAGTGAAGGCCAATCGAATATGCGAAAGCATGTCACTGCACCGTTTCTTAGAAACAATATGGGGTCCTCATCTGTATTGAATCTTGGGGCCCCACCTACAGCAGGGTGGGTTCCCGTGCCTTCTGGAGCTGAGGGCCAAGGAGCCAGGCGCGTGGAATTTCGTACGGAGATGGGAGAGGTACGTCTCGTTTGAGGCACTGCATGAAAGTAAATCATGTACAAATTCATCGGCGCTGAGGCACTTCGCTGTTATAACCGACAAATTTATATTTAATAAGCTCTCCACGTGATGATGGTGATGATGACAAATAACAATATGTGGTTGGCTGGAGCACTATGCTACAAGCAAGCAGGTCGCGGGTTCGATTTCAGATGAGGTCATTGGATTTTTCAATTGGCTTAATCCTTCCAGCTGCACTGTGACCCTGAGGTCGACTCAGCATCTAACATAAATGAGTACCAGGAATCTTCCTGGGGCGTAAAGGGCGGCCGGAGCGTAAGGCTGACAAGCTCACAGCCATCTGTGAGCCGATTGTCTAGAAAATGTATGATACAGTGTCGTCATAAAAATTACAAACTTCTTAATAATGAGCTAAAAAGCGATAAAGCGTATTTCAATATACCAATTAAACTTGCTCCGTAATCGACCGAGTAGTTGAGCCTGGTTGGTAGCCCTGATATATACGCGACCACTGCCTGCGAGAGGGCGCCACATTGCTTACCGCCAGCAGTCTATCAGCGCGGAAACACTAAGCTACTGTTGTGTTTCACATTCCAGTTAAACTTATTAACATACATCCACAGCATGAGACTAAGGACCGGCAAATTATTCTCAGAAGGCGAGCGACTGTTTTAGTTCATAAATTACGAGTCGATCGTACGGAAATCGTATTACAAAAGTTACTACATCTCAGCGAGTAAAGGGAAAGTTATCCCTGTAACTGGCCGTGGAGGCCCACAGGGTTGAGACGTCGAGGCTCCCACATTTTCTTTAGACAATCGGCTCACAGATGGCTGTGAGGTTGTCAGCCTTGCGCGCCGGCCGCCCTTTACCGGCAGGAAGATTCCAGGTACTCATTTCTGTTAAGAGGCTAAGTCGACCTCAGGGTCATAGAGCGACTGGAAGAATTAGGTGAATTTTAAAATCCAATGACCACGTCGGGAATCGAACCCGCGACTTTCCGGTTCGTAGCACAGTGCCTCAACCAACTGCGCTACCGCGTGCCCCACATCTCAGAGAGAGTGCAGAAATTCATCAAATCATCACAGGCAACTGCAATATCACGCAGTAACTAAAGCCGCTAACAAAATGAAGGTACAGAATTTTCTCTATGGTGGGAACTGGCATGTTCTCAGAGAACTGCACAGAACTAAGTACGCCTTTAATTCCAGATAACAATAGTTCATGCTCGCTTCTTTGTCAAACTAAATGAAGCAACGTGAGTACACTGTGACCCAACTGAAGGTGCTTTCCATTTAAACGCCGTTTCTGGTCTCATTGTTTCAACCAACTGAAGCACTACGCGTACGTATGAGGAAACACAGGTCAGAACTGCTCTTCAAGCTAAACAAACGCAAGCTCGTGGAATCATCACGGTCCTAAAAGATTCTGAACCAGTGAACAGATTTTAATGAAAGTAATGCAATTTAAAGCCATCGTCTCTTCGTCCTTCTTACCACTGACTGTAATAACATGGTGAGCGTGCGAACTTCTGAAGTGTGACACTTACT